AATATTTTAAATGTTAATTATTGTAATATTTTAATATTTAATAAGAATTATTGTGATTAGACGGACAAGATTTAATATATACTTAGAGATACAGATGCTAATTTTTATTATTCTTTCTGCAAACGCACTGAAACAAAAAACTTTCGTCATTCATGGCCTGCTATGTACATTTAATTACATAGTACAAAGCAACAAAATATTTTTTTTAATTACACAAAGATAAGTAATGACTTTAATTTTTATGTATTTATTTTCTGATACTTTTCGATAAAAATGTTTAACGTTCTACTTGAGCTCTTTCGGTCGTTTTTGACGGACAATTTTCTAGTAATCTATGAATCGATGGAACAGAGCATTTTAGGATAATTTATAAAGCAAAAGTGCCAGCATCCTGTAACTTGAATGGCCCAAACTAACCCACCTGTCAATACAGATGACAGACAGTGATGGCGGACGCCACTGTCTATATGCAAACTCATACACTGACCGCAACATACAGTTTTGCATTAATCAGGATCAGCTTTTGTTCAACCTCTTTTTTTTTAACAGATTGAATCATGACACTGAATTGCTCACTGTCATGTAGCATTTTATAAGTTTACCGTCAATAACACTCAATCATTCATCTACAAGAACATTACGTAATGAAGTAGAAGCTTACAGATTAATGTTTCGGAATAAAATAATTACGTCAATATATTATTATGATTTAAACTATCTTGTCCATAAAACTTTGTGTACATACTGAATATGAGGTAAGTTAGTAATCTGTTAATTACGCAAAGGTTCGTATTTATTCATGCTTTGTAGCAGGCCATACAAAGCGAATATACGTCTCTCAATACGTACGTCCTTATTTTTAATTTCCTAAAATACTACAAGGACTTCAATGAAATTCATTAATGACCGTTTATGAACTTCATAAACTCTCCCTGAAAACAACCGTGTGTGACCAAGGACATAAAATGCAGGTCTTGTGAAACATAAAACTTCTGTTTATATTTGGTCAATTTTTCGTATAATTTGAGTTTCACTGTGATAAGCACTCAGTGCCTTCTATGTATAGCACCGTTAAGAAGAATTCAATATAAACAAAGCGAAACAGACGTTTCGGAGAAAAATGTTTCCTTTTCCTTCAGACACGACACAGATGCAATGAATAAATTTGTACGTTGCCCCATGTTACAGATTTATCACGTCTGTCAAAGTTCTCAAAGCAAGATAAGATAAAATAAGGCAATTAATGTAATCATAAAAAATTGTAGGGCGATTTCACGTAATGACAGATCAGAAAACTTTGTGCCTGTAGAAAAATGTTTCCATGTCACTAATTTCTCAAATATTTTTAATTTCATAACATGTGTAATTAGTTTACTTTCATGTCTCAAAAACATCCCAACATTGAAATGTTTTATTCATCTGCGTTTAGGCCTATAGGAAGGAAAATCAAATTTTAAATTACTCGTGTGACTGTATCTTCCGTACCACGTAGCATCTGGTATTCGTATATCACACACCTCGCGGTCCCCAGTTTGTATTAAGACCAGCTAGTTACCAGAAAGTGACGATGGTCATCGAACTAACCCTCAACAGCCTCTTATTACCTTCAGAGACTCAACTTAAACCACTTTGTAAACACTTTATGGAATCAATAAAATCTTATCGGGCAATCAGCCGCGTTAAATGGTCACCGTAGTAAACCGACGTTTCGGGAACAAACTCTGTCCCCACCTTCTGGTTTCTGATGTAACTGGATCCTCGGAAGTCGCCTTACTACGGTAACCATTTAACGCGGCTGATTGCCCGAGAGGATTTTATTGATTGTACTCGCCGCGAAAGTCTCAAATCCTACTTTATGAAATACTAAATTACCGTAATTCGTACTTAGCTCGGATTATATTTAGTTAAGGTTTGAAGCTATTAAACGTAATCCAATTTAATTTCTAATTTCTGGTCAGATTGCCACATTACGTCAGAATCCAAAAGAAGGATCTAAGGTATTTGGTTCCTGTATGACGTTTACGTGACTCGCGTTTAAATGTCGTGAGGTACATAAGTCGCTCTTGCGGGATTCATATTACGTTGTATTGAAATGTTTCTTACAAGACGTTAAAAGAAAGTGAAGGGGGGTAAAAGGAGGGAGAGCATGTTTGCGAGCGTCTGTTACCAAAGCGTTTTAATCTTGGCAACTTCATCAATGTCTCGTGAGGTCAAGACAATCTTTTCATTGTTTTCATTGTCACTCTTCTCACGACTTCTACCTTAAAAATCTGCAGTCTTCTCCTCTGTTTTGGTTCACTACGTCTTGTCCCGTGTGACACGGTTGGGTCAGAAGAGCCTTCTATCTCCGACTTACTATTTACTGGATAAAAAAAATTAATTTGCCCGTAATTATACCACACTCTGTTTATAATCGGAAACGTTTTATTTAATTCTTGTTCCACCTTGAAAATGGCAACTGCCGAAACGTCGATACCAGACATTCGACGCGGCTCTCAACAGAAATCCGAAGTTACACAAGTTATTTACTTCGTCGAAAAGAGAGTGCCAAATACAAATATTTTTTGTCCTTAAAATATCTTCGACTTCCCCGTTGAGAAGCTCTGAAATACATACAAATTCCAAAGGAATAAATTTCAGACTCTCACGGAGGTCATGGTTGAGCCTGAAGATGAAGGCAGCATATTCTTCTAACACGCTCGTAGGCCTATCTGTCTTCAACTCATACGGCGTTAAAACACTGAAGTCCAACATCAATACTGTCAAAACAACTCTTTCAAGAGGAGAAATAACTGGTACACCTCCCCGAGATTCCAGAAATTTCTGGCCTTTTATACTAGGTCTGAGATATTACTTCCACATCCGAGTGTCTTGTAAGGGCGTGACCGACAGACAGCTGAAAACGGAGTACTGATGTACACGTTGTTCGAATATGAAAACCAGTGACGTAAGGTACAGCGGAGAAAATAAAGTTGTGCCTGATGTTTAACTAAGCACCACGATATGCAGACGTATAGGGAAATCAGATGAAAAATAGTGGTAGGTTCATGACCTTACAGCTTTGCCCCCGAGGAAGGAACCCTGGTGGACGATTTCCCAGGTGGTCCTGAAACTTGTAGAATCGAACCCCTGTCATTCAACTTACGTAATCACTCTTGTGACTCAGCTAACCCGGCACCATGTCCTAATGATGTACAGGTACTCAGTTTATATTATATGGAACTTTACCTCCACTCCCCTATACATATTCTTGGCGTAGTATTAAAATTTTAAACAAGAAAGACTACACCTGAACACAAACTTGTCACTAACCTCAATATCCTCCGTTGAATGAAGTTGAAAGCAGCATACGTGACCAAGCTGCTGTGTCTTCTGTTCGACTTTCATCTAGTGAAAATTGCACTGTAACTTCGAATCAACTTCCAAGTGTATTAACACAAACTGTATATGAATAATATTGTAATTATTTACCCTCAGCCTAAAACACTGTACCTTAATTATGCATTTGGGCACAAGAGCCAAGACAAAAGTTGTTTAATATTTAGCTTAACCTTGCCAGTAGGACACTTACACAGTTTTCTGTTTGTTACTTTCATAATAATGTTTAATGCCCACTTGATTAAAACATACGGCGCTCTCTTATAAAACCTTGGCCTTGTCGTATTACAAAACTCTTACTCTACGTGAAATAAGGCAACCGCGTCTTCATAAAAGCACAAATAATATTGTCAACACAAACAACACGCCACACTACCTTCCATTACACAGCTAACCGGATCTAGAACTTGGAGTCTCGTGACATCTAGTGTTTGTTTCTGAAGATAGTCAGAGTTACCAACTCATACATTCTCAAGGACAAAAACCACTTCCTGTTACACGAGAGATGCACGAGCTATGAAGATTTGTATAATTGAATGGCGCGAAGATAGATATTAATATAGTAGGATATAATAGCGTTTCATTTAAATAACAAGGAATGCTGTTTCGTATCGTTACAAAACATGAAATGTGTACGATGTAGGTGTGGTATCTTGTAATGGTATCGTATAGAATCCAGTCAATTCATGCCATTGCTAGTTAGGCACGAGGATGAGTATACTAATTAAGGAAATATATGACAAGTAAATTTAATTATAATTTTGTATTTGCGTAAAGTGAAGTGAGAAAGGTTGCATCACGTATACCACCTGCTCCAAATGTTTATTTCCGAAAACGCTTAACGTAGTAAATACTGAGTCATGTTTCAGTCCAACGTAACTGCATGATTGCTCTGATGAGTCTTAGGGAGATCTCTAATACGACGACAATTTGCAACATCCCAGAAAATAGCCATATTCAAAGAACTCCACCGGAGTACCCGCATTCTCAATCTCTAATACCGAACGGTCAGGTGGTTACTATTCCAACTTCATATTGGGAGGTTCCGGGTCAAAATTTCTGCGTTAAGGTCGACTATCGTGATCGAGATTTTCATGGGTTTACTCAGTCCAACAGTCAAATTACACGTCCTCCAACACAGCTGGTATCCGTCATGTTTCGAAGTAGGGACTCAGAATTAACGTGAAGCTTGCTGTTCTACTGAGCTTATTGTCTTATGGGTTAGGAATCGTAAATATATTAAATAATTCACAACTCGCCTGCTATATCTTTATTGACAGTCAAACAAACTTCATTTTAATAATACATATGTTCCTAATGGAGCTCATAATAAGTATTACATCATACTATTATAATATTTATTACCCTAGTCACCAAAGCCAGTTCATAATATCCCTAACCGAAGTTCTGAAGCGATGTTTTAATGCGCGTAATTTAATCTTTGAGGCATATGTGGGCCCTTAAAAAATTTAAATTCAATCAAACTTTGAGAATTTTCTTCAAGAAAATTTAGACTATAAAATATATGCATCTTCATTAGTTAAATTACACCAGAACTGAGTATTAGAAACACTTACTACAAATATTTCACTAAGTTCTAGATTATCGAATGCTTACAAAGAAGGTTTAGTAAACTACTCCTCTGTGTACGTATTCGTTTGTTCAGCGGTGTGATATTTGCGTGAAGAATCTGCCCGAAGACACATGACAGTGGAACATAAGCCCTTTATAGACTAACTTACGCCAAGAAGGTTAAATGGTAGGGATTAATATCATCATCTCGCAAACTTCAGAACTGTACACAATAACTTTCGAAAGAAAAAAAAAATTAAACTACCACAGAATTCCAATAAGACAAGAAAGTAAGATAAGTTAAGAAGCTTACAAATTATTATTAGTAATACCATGGAGTGTCTAGAATATAGTAATCAGAGCGAAGACTCCATACAACAAGGCGCAGGGGTAGGCCACCAGCATCTGCTGATGAGTCATGTAGAGGGCTGTGGCGAAGAGTTTCGAAGCTGACAGGCTGCACCACGCGACGGCTATGCCAGTTAACACTAGCCCCTCAATGCCCCTACAACAAAGACGCGTGTTCTATCACACACATTGGCAATTTATGTGATTATTTTGTTTATTAGCCCGTGAAAATTAACGAGCTTTTCGTAAAAGTGGAATAGAAACATGGAGTTAGGAGTAAGACTCTTACTCCCTACTTAGCATTGCCATCTGTCGACGGCCAGGGAAATTTATAGATAAGACGTAAACAGAGTTTAGTACACTGGAGAGCCGACAAATAAAGTTATCACGCTGTACTACGTAAATTTACTAAAATCAAAATAATGTAGGCGTCTCATAGTCTAACCTCACTCTGATGGGTTACAAACATAAGTTGTACGTTCTTAAAGAGGTATTCTCAGTAAAATAATTACCTTAGCATACCGTATAGGTCTATCAAAAATGTTATTAAACTAATATTCACACTGTAAAATTAGATCATGTCATGGTACTGAGTCACAAATCAAAATGAGATCCATTCTTGATTCTTAATTTATTTAACTACGCTTATTCAAACTGCATCGATCATGCAGAGTCGAATGGTAGGATGACAGTCGTAATTCTTGAGATTATTTTTATTCATGTATGTGCAAGTAATTTTACCAAGATTTTAATATATTTTCCAAAATAAATACACGGTCCCGCCATTTCAAACTACATCCCGCACAAATAAATGCAACATGCTGAAAGATCCCACATTTCACAGCGTTTCTCCTTCAGCTCTACGCGTAGCTGCGAGTTCTGATCTGTCGTCGCTCTCTCGTACTGCTGTTCATGTTGCAACGTTGCACGATTCTTCTGTGACCCTGAAGAATGCAATTTTATGACTGGTACTGTACTTACTGGAGAGACATTATGACGTTGATGCCAGACAGGATGACCATTGGCAGCAGACAGTAGCCGAGAACGGAGATTACGGATCCCAACGTGACGCTGTTCATCGCCATAAGACTCAGCAGAAAGTATACAGCCAGACAGCCTAATACTCCAATGCCATAGATATAGCTGAAGTGGACCTTTCCAGACTGTAAAATACGAGGAAAAAAAATGATATTCACTACCAGAAAATCTAAAATAAAGCTATCGATGTTGATTTTCTAGGTGAGCTGCTTAATTTACACAGGACTTGTGTCTGTTAAAAACAGAGTAGTATTGTCTGCTTTTATTTTATTTATTTAGTTTTCTGTCTGAGGACAGGTCCATATGACCAGGATCCTTCCATCCTTTTCTCGGACTGGGACCTGTTCATATCCGTTCTTGGCAGATGATCCAGAAGTGGTTTGCCATTGCCTTCTTCTGTGTGTGACTGGAGTAATTGTTGGGATGCCACGGAGGAAAACTCCGTGTTGCCTAGACCACGGCCTTGCCCAACACAAGTTATAAATTCGGGCACCGCCGGGAATCGAACCCGAGACCCCAGGATTACAAGGTTAGTGTTCTGACCGCTAGACCACCGTGGCGAACCTTCTAGGTTGTAACACACGAATATAAAATTTTATCAAAATCCGTTCAACAGCTCTCGAATGGTTACTTACACATTTACGAACGGACTGATAAAGCGATTTTCATAGGCACTACGCCGGGTTGTGAATCCGTCTAAAAATATAATGAACAGCAAAAATTACTCTAAAGTGCTTACGTTGGGGGGGGGGGGGGCAGTACAATTACAAAGGGCTTCCCCCGTTAGGGCATTGCATAGGTGGGAAGGTCCATTCGACAGAGCTCTTTCTTCGAGACAGCTGTATTATGTGTTGTAGTAATAGCTGAGCTAGGACTCGATGATTATGCGCGCTCTGGAACCCTTTGAATGGGGGGGACCCCCATTCACAAAAATTCGCATTGTGTAGGTTGTTCTATATACTTCGCCGAAACGAGGCATGAATAACTTAACAAACCCAACGAAGGGAATCTTTACTACCATGATACCAACGATGAAGTGACCTGCTTGTAGGGAATACCAGATTACCATGAGACAATTTCATGACTCGACTGCCGACAACTGGCTAATGTAAGATTTGAGGTTTTCATGGCCGTGAGTCTGAAAATGGCTGTCTTCTGGGTTGATGCGACGTGCAGTCTGGCAGAAGTTTACCGAAGGTCCTTGCTGCCTTCATCATCAGGGCTATAAGTTTTTCTTTTGAAAATAATAATGATGTGGGTATAAAATACAGCAGAGAACATAAAATATAAGGAACAGACAAACTTCGCTACACCAATAAGAACGGACTTTAGAGCCTGAGTCTGGACCATTTCAGTTTCTGCAACACAAACATCACGTTTAAATCATACAGGCGACTGGACACGTTCGATTCATCTTCAGAGCTTAAAGCAAGGTCCTCCCCCCCTTGGAGCACCAGGGTTTCGGTGCAGAGCTGGCAGCACGACATGACATTTAGTCTGGCAAAATATACCAAGTTACGTGTAACATTATCCAGTTATTAAACTAACAGCTTCGGATTTTGACCTGTGTCTATTCCACGCATAAACACAGAAGTTTCAATGTTTTTAATGTGATCTCCACAAGTCCCACTACACAATTGATTTTGGTGCATTTCTGACGTCAATAAAGGTAACTGGAATAGTAAACTGTCACCTCAGTCGATTATTCGCAACCAGCTGAGCGACTATTAGCGTCTTCAGAAGGGCTGTGCTTCTTGGCGTTACTTGTGGTGTTAATTTGTAATTCTTTTCTTATGAAAGTTTATTCTTTGAAGTTCTGAATTCTTTTGCACGAGTAAATTGCAGGAACTTCTCATGGAAATCCTGACATCTCACAGGATGAAATCACAGTTCGCACAATGTAAGACAATGTTCATTAGCTTTAATCAATTTAATTTCGTTATTTGAAAAATCAATTATACTAATTCAATTCACATAGTTCATTATAGTTAACATTACCTGATAAATATAAGAATCCTACTTTTTTAAAGATTACATTTAAAAGCTTACACGTTTTTTGAGATTCTTGCCAAATGTAAAAAACACATTAATCTTCTTACATAAAGTGATTAAAGTATATAAAAAACGATACCTTGATATTCTTATAGCAAACGAACAGTAGATTTATCACAATGCGACAATCGGCCTGTGCCGTGTAACTTGATATGGTTTATTGTATTACGCTGTATGAAGTCTCTGCGTATTTTCACGGGACCACTGTGTCGAAACTAATATGAGGCACGGCTATAAAACAGGAAGGGAGAATATGCAGCAAAACGGGTCTAAGGGATTTCTGCGACGTAATTTCCTGTAACAGACAGGCTGCCAATAGCTAACATCAATCACGCACTTACATTAAAGATAGAAAAAGACTTCTGATTTACAACAAGATGTCCTTTACATAATACATACGGCGTTACTACCAAGGAAACCAATTTAATACCTTCACAGCCTCAGGTCTCATTTGATAATATCCTGTCTTTTATAGAACGCGAAGTTTCATTGCCGTGTTCAGAGAAACACGATATCAGATCCTATCCTGAATCAATTTAATACAGCTCAGACGTTGACATTCTGTATCTTTAATAACCATTCTAATATTATCATTCAGTCAATTCCTAAGTTTCCCAAGTGGGCAGTTTAGTAATACATACAAACACGTATCTTGAAATCCTCAGCAGAAGAGACCAAATGATAAATTTGGGAAAACTTGTCCGTAAATGGGAGGATAATATTACAATTCATCTTAAAGGATAAGCGAATTGCGGTGCAGACTTAATTTTCCTGGTTTTAGATTTGCTGAACGGTTTTTCAAATCCGTCGAGAAGTTTATGTACGGATTATAAGATTAAATATTTTGTTTTTGAACCGGTAAATGGATGGCCATAATGGGTTTTAGACACACGAATATGAATTTAAATATGATAAGATACATTTGAAACAACAAACGCATAAGACAATTTAGAGCATTATTAATATCTAATATTACCTCATTTTCCAATAATGTTGGTGTTAATAACATATAACTATGAATTCCTTCACAATGAATTAATACGACATTCGCTAATATCTTAAAACAATGAAGCTTAAATTTACGACTTTTAAACTAATGCACTGTTTTCATGTCGCCCAACTTTAAACCTTATGGCACCTCGAACTTCCATTTTGCTGTGTAAGAACTATGCAAGAAGATGGCCTCTTGTGGATCGCTGGGCAGTGTAGTCTGGTAGAAGCTCGCCGACGTTTCAGAGGTATTTGCTGTGGTTATCATCGCTCTGATGACATGGAGGCAGCAGAAACCACCCCAGAAGACAGTCATCTTCATGAACGTAATACACGCAGGCTAATACATAGATATTCCTGTTTCGCTTTCAATGCAACTCGTCCAAACTCCATTACCAGAGCCTTAGTAAAAGGAATACAGATAGACTAATGTACCACGAGCTCTCAGATGGGAGAGCCGGCACAGCGCATCGTATATAGTGTCCAACATCACGTGAGTAGATGCGATATCTGCACAGTCATAATGACATATGGCAAGATAAATAAAATACTACAATGCAATACGACGTGATAACGTGAGTTCCATTACAGCTACATATTAAATAACATTAATTAATTTGTCTGAAATAAAAAAGGTAGGTTATTTAAAAACAGAAATTAATTTCTGAAATTTACACACAAGTTTAAACACAATGCTTTACGTGTTTATCGACCAGCCAATGGTGAGAACAAACATTCATTACGCTTAACCGCATCGCCCCTACAGGTGGAGGGTGTCATTACTTCGCTTGGCGACCCCCTCTTATGTGCATTCAATGAAAATAAACAACGATATTATTATAGAAACAGAAATTCAAAATATATTTCTCTTGAAAAAATCAAACATAAATAAACACTTATGGAGTTTACATGCGGTCCCGTAAGTTTAAAACCAAAATAACAAGGGCACAACAATATACGCCTAAAGTGATATCTTAACTTCTTACAAGTTATAAAAAAATAGTCTCCTCTCAAAATGAAATCCTCACTCGGCCTCAGTTTCTCCCCCGAGAGATACGGCAGTTACCTCCCCTGGTGAGCCTCGAACTCAACCAAGAAAAACACAAATAAACAACAGAACCGCTGCCTCTAAATTTCAGGAAAAAACACGGCAATCCAGAAACAGGAAGTACTTTACCCCGACAGGCATTCCGAGAGAGAGTGAATCTTGCGCTAGCGATAATCAGCCACGATATTCCACCCCCCTCCAATCATGCCCCCTCACATCCCACGCCAGCGCAGCAAAAGGCATGGTATCGATCTGGGACCCCTAGTTCAGTCGGCCCTCACCTAGTCCCGAGGTCGCCCCCTTAACCTCACAGGCCGAAAGAGCTCGAAGTTTTGGCTCAACGCAAAGGGTTCATTGACCAAGCTAACTAACACTAAATCTAATAATTGTTGTAACACAAGGAGGTATGGGTTCCTTTCCGCCTGAAAAATTTACCTGGTGCTGCAAAACGGTTACCCACTCCCATGGCAGGAATTACATACTTCGCTTGAAAATTCAAATAATGCTCTGTGCATAAATTTGGTGCTTAACAAATGCAGCGAAGATTTTATTTATTCACGTCCATATATTATCTTAACGTTAGCATATATATAATATGTAAAAGAACTGTAGTCTCTCTTTTTTTTTTTGCGAAACAGAATTCCGAACGGAAATTATGGGGTTGAGTTAGAGTCATTCAATATTTAAAATATTTTATGGCAATATAGGTTTAAATAATTTCACAATTACTTGTAAACAATAGCGAATACTAGCACGTTATGGAATCATAGAAGTCCCTCATTCACACCGTAAAAGAGCGGAAGACGAAATTGTAAGCAAGAACAATACTTTTTCTTTATCCTGATTTCATCTCTGGGCCCTTAAAAGAGCAGCTTATTTCTCTTTCACACTCGACCCAGCCTTCTCCCCTAGCTCCATATTCCCTCCTCAACCCACGGCTGTGATTGAACAATCCCCGCGGAATGATTCATTTCCTCGTCCCTTCAAAATATTTGCTCGTCATAAACTAGTACAGCATACAACTTTGTACAGTTT